CTTCAATTAAAAGCTTCCTTCAGGAGACATTCTTCCACGAGTTGTGCACAACAAAGTTTTATCTTCTACAAAAACTACTTTAGATCTCCAGATTTGTGCTAAACTACTATGATTTGGTTTTCTGTGTGTCAAAAGTAACAGGGTTTACAGGGAATTCTCGTGCTTGAACTGCCTCCCTCTGGATGCATTCTTCTGAAGAGTACTACAGAAAAAACTTGAACTAACCTGTGTCTATAATTCTTAACAAAGAAAAAATTCTGAAGCTTACTTACAAGAAGTAACAGCCCTGTCATGTATATAAAAAGCTAACAGGTACCCGTGACACATATTCCAGATCAGAGTTTGAAAGGAACAGTCTTTACACACTGTTATTTTCTACCTTGCTACATCTGCCAAACCAAACTGATGGGCTCTAATAGCAACCCCTTACAGCAAAATAACATGGAGCTAAACAAAAAAACATTTATTTGAGGATGTCATGAGTCAACATGCAACTACAAAGGCAGAGGTATCCAGCTGGCTGTATTAAATCCATATGCTCCAGACAGGTCAGAATTAGCAGCTCGCTCACACGAGTATGCACAGTATACCCTGCAGCGCTGGGATTCCTGTCCTAGGTGAAGAACTTGAAAGCAAACTTCACCAACCATGTTAAGATAGCCATTGCATAGGCCTTCCAGGCAAAGGATGAAACAATGCCACTCTTCCAGATCCATGTTTTCCTGAGATGGTACAAGGAGGATCAAATCAATCTTTTCTACCTACTCACCTTGTGCAATCATATGATTGATCAGGTTGGAAGGGACATCAGGAGAGCTCTGATCCAACCTCTGCCCAAAACACAAGCCACACTGAATTCAAGAACTGCTTGCTTGGGGCTTTTCTTCAGTCAGCTCTTAAAAGCCATTAAGGATAAACCCTTATAAGGGGCAATTTTTTCAGATTTCTTTTCCCCTTTATATGCAGACTGAACTTCTTTCAACTTGTGCCTGTTGCCTCTTACCCCCACCATGAACCCCTGTGAAGAGCCTGGCTCCATCTCCTCACAGGTATGGGGGCTGCTGCTGAGTCCCCTGAAGTACTCCCTTCTTAAGGCTGGACAAGTCCAACTCCCTGAGCAAACATGCCAGGGACTGACCACCTTGCTGGCCCTTCAGGAACTCGCTCCAGGTTTTTGATTTATGTCACTATCCACCAGGACCTGTTGGTCTTTTTCAACAGATCTACTTCCCAATCATTCAGACCCCAGCCTATATCTCTCAAATAATGTCACCATAAAAAGTGTTAATGCAGTAGGCCAAGAATAAAAGCACTGACATTGAGCTTCAGGGTCTGTCGTGTTAAAAAGCCTCACAGATCTTCCAGCCCCTTTACAAGCCCTTCTTTACAAGAAAAAGAAATACTTTATTTTTAATTTTTTTCATCCAGATAAAATACTTAGCAACCAATTTGATGGACAAACATAAACAAAATCCTATCGTTAGTCTTAAGTAAGAAGAATCATTACTTCAGATAATGGAGGTTTTGAAGAAAACTTTTACATCAGCTATAACCACCTGCTTCAAAGTTTAACTCCAACAACAAATGAACTTACACTTCAAAAAAAGACAAAGCTAGAGCCCTCCTTACTGGTTTTCAATCACACTTTAATTGCACAAAATTATATATCTGTCCCAGGGCATATTAAGAAATAGGAGCAATGAAACTCGACAATAAAATAATTGCACTGAAACTACCCTATAACCAAGCAGCAAATCTTCACTCTACATTTCAGAGCTCAGTAATTCCCAGGAAACCATGCTGTATATGCAAATATAATTAGATCTCTAAAAATGAGAATACTGGTATCCAGAAAGAGCCATCCAATTCTTAAAACCTCAGAACTAGGAGGTGCTTGCTACTTATTTTCTAGACTTCTGAAATTAATCTACAGATTTATTGAATGTGAGACTCAAAACCAGTTCAACCAAATAATCATTTCCAAAAACATCAGCCTACCACGTTCAATGCCACAAATCTAAGGCTTTCAAAAAGATCTATAATTTACCAGATCTTTGACTATTGTACCACACATTTGGGTCACCTCCTTTGTAAACAATAACTAAACTGATTCCACCCCAGTTGAAGATTTCTCAAGATACTGTTTGTTGACATGCAAATTTTGCTCAGTTTTACCCTTATTCAATGCAACTTTTAGAAGAAAATCAATTGGAGGAAGTTTTGATTTTATATACTCCAATCAGAGGACCATCTCAGGAAGTCACCAGATAATCTTTGCTTACAAGGAATAAGCATTCCACCTACATTTTTATATCATTTAATAGGCTAAGAAAAGGATTATTTTTTTTTTAATAAATTGTAAAAGCAATTAGAAAATTATAATCACTATCATCATAGAGGACAAGAAATTATGCTATTTTTGTACACTGGACTAGAAGTAGATACAAACGAACACCACAGGATCAAGCGTAAAGCTTATTTCCTGGGAATGCTGCATTCTGAAAATCTGATTTTCTTACAGAAAGTTGATACAAGAGCTCCTTTAGAACTGAACTCCTTTCAAATTAATTTTCTGATTTAGTAGTTAAGCTAAAATATAAGTATCCTTACAACTCCAGCAAAAATAATGTATTTCAGCACTTTATCTGCAAGCACAAAACTCTATAAACTAATACAAGGTGTTGCATACAATGTATCAATTTGCTACCTAAATAGGATTATGAACTGGCCTTTCGAAAGACTGGAATGATCCTTTACCTACGTACCTTTCATGTTAACTAGTGTTCCATAATTTAACCCTAATTCTTAATGTACTGTAGTTCCACCTTTATCAAATATATCTATAAACAACTAGGACTGTGAATAGTTTTGCTTAAATTTAAAAATGAAGACTCTATGTTCTCCAGTGGCAGAAAATACCAAGTGTATGCGAGAATCAGCGTTTTGCCTTTGCCACTGATCAGGCCAGGCTATGAGTAATTAAGTGTCCAAACTTAGAGGGGGGAAGTAGATCTGCAAAGGACTGCACAACTGTAGTAGCTGCTCCTTCCTAGGCTGGAATATTTACAACACTGGTAGCAGATGGAACTTTTTACACAAACAAGACTACATATTATGTCTCCATAGACTGAAGACAAACTAACGACATCTGTGATCACCATTTTCCATGGTTATGAACTCTGGAGAGAGAAACAGACTTGTGTTGCCCAAGAAGAAAAATGGATACTAAGCTGCAAATGGCTGCAAATTTTTACACATTTCATATACTGCTCTAAAGGACTGCTTAGTTCCATTGTCCACACACTTCTTGAAAAAGAAGTTCTCACTCAGCTCTGTGAGACCAGAGTATTTTTAGAAACTTGCAACTCAGGCAGTTACCCGTCAGCAGATCAGGGAGGTATGGAAGCAGATAATTATCTGGTGTGCACTCTCAAAATACCCACATTAAGATAAACTATCTAACAATTTGATACCACACTTCTACAGACTGTCAAATGTCTAGATGTGAAATTTTCCATCACAATTTTCAGACAGTTAGAGGCCTCTCCTTGCCCATCACCACCAAGGAAAAGCACGCCATTTCGGAAGGAAGAACTAAGTCAACTCTCCACGTCCTCAGATAATAGGTAACTCCATGGTATCTAGAAATCTCATTTTTAATAATTTTCCACTATAAAAATAGACCTCAGGCATCAATTTTCTTTACTAGCTGTCATGCCTAACACCAAAATTTGCTGAGTTTCTAAATAACTACCACACCTATGGTTGCCTTGTCCAAATCAGAGACTCGCTTGGAATCACAGAAGGAATAACACAACTAATCATATTTTTAGGAATATAAAAAATCATATTTTTATAAAAATAAAAATATCATATTTTTAGGAATGCAAACTTGAAGCATAAAAGAAGTATGTTAAACAAGATTAAAAGTACAACCCCATGGTCCCTCTTTCAGACAACCACAGTATGAGATAACTCAGCATAAACTCAGAGCCTTAAAAAATGCCTGCTGCACCTTTGTCCCCACTTTAGGGAAAGCTTCCTCAGCACCTTACTCTCCTGGAAGACAAGGGCGTTCTTCCCATTCCCAGACTAAGCTCACAGCCAGTGTTTATACAGCCACCCTTGTAACCCCAGTCTTCTCTCTCACCCTGCTGTTTCAAGTATTACTGTAAAACATAGATACATCACATATCTTACATCTTCTTAAGAAAAGCAAATTCTCCAACTGTAAGGTATTATTTTTATTTTTTTTTTAATAAAATCATTCCTGCCAGACCTACAATTTTGTGTGTCAGTTCTTTCACACTTCACAGATAAAGATTATCTAAACCTTTCTAACCTGAAGCAGCCGAATGCAGCATTTTGCTTCATTTCCATTTGGTATCTAAGCTGGAGAAAACATAATAATGATTCATTCATTTAGCAGAAGTGCAGACAAAGCCAATTGGAGGCCATTATTATGCCTCCCAGTGAGACAGATGTGTTGCTTCTGGTAAGGATGAGAGGCCAGATTGAACTGGTGCTTTTCAACAGCCAGAGGAACTCTCTCTAACATACAGCCTGTCCCCATGTAACATATTATCAGTACCAATACCTTTGTTTTGTCAGCAGGTACAAAGAAGTGGCTTTATCTTTTCAGGAAATGAACAGTTTAGTGCCCAAGAAACTATTACTTCAGAATATATCCTCCAAGCTGAATTTTTTCCAGCAAGTTTATGAAGCTCAATTCAAAAGCAGAGACATCTGTCTTTTCCAAAGAGAACATATTCCTATGTGCAAGAGCCAGACTGCACCCATTTCTTTTGAATCCATACAAGAATTTATAAAGTAAGAATGATAAAGAAAAAGTTGAGTATGTTTTAAATCAGCTCTTACACAAAGTTCCGTTTGTTTGTTTCATCGACTGTTTTTCTTAAGATAAACATAAATCATCTTCACAGGGAAAATGTCAGTAGCTGGGATCAATAAAACAACTGGACTTGCTCTAGCATACATACTGAGATTCATCATCTAAAATCTTGTTATTTCTACATTCAAAGATCCCTGGCAACTGGAGCTTTGGAAGATGAAGAGTAAGACCTAACAAAATAAGAAGAAATTGAAAAACTGTAGTTAAAAAGAAGTACGAGATCAAAGATTTCTCACTGTCAAAATTCTGCACCAGATTCGTGGTGCATTGCTTGTACTCACTGTAGCTGCTAAGTATGAGAGTCCATGGTTCTGAAGAACCAGAACTGATTTTCCTCTGTGGAAATTGTTCCTTCTTTTTTACTTGAACATTCACTTTAAAGGAAAAAAGTTACATCTGGGAGGCAAAAAGCAAGGTGAATACTTGGTATCAGTTCTCAGCCATGCAGTGAATAAATGAAACTCAGAAGATCTACAAATACTTCATGGAGTTTAAAATCATATGGATAGCTATCTGTATCATCCATATCATATCATCTCCTCTGTTTTCTTGATTTTATTCTACATATGCATTTTAATACTCTATTAATGCAATGGTATTTTAATGGAGTTTATTAAAATTTTTGAGTCACAGAAACTCTGAGAATGAGGCATAACATCATAATGTTCACCCACAGTTAGTCATAATGAATCAAGCACTTTATCATCATTGTATCTCATGCCTCATGAAGGTTTAACCTTAAACACTTTTGTTTAGAAATAATTCTGCATAAACACACAAATTACATGAAATATGATGCAGAGACCATTATATTGACATTCAGTTAATTAGCAATCAAAATGTTTCAAGCAATTATAAGGAGCCCCATGATCTCCAAAGATGATGTGTGTATCCTGATGTATGCATCCTGTACAACAGCAAATAGCCTCTCTCTACATTTTCCAAGCAGTGGAAGACTGTTACAACTGATGCAGACAAATATATGCTGTCTACACTTTAAAAACGTGTGGCTGCACAGGAGTCACGTTTTTGATTCAACATTTATCAGTTACATGTATTGGAAGTAGCACCTGACAACCTTATTTACCAAATACAACAAAGCTCAAAAAAATCCCTTTAATGCATTATCAAGTGAAGAACTGAGACTCTATTCTGGCATGTAAACTCTCTGCCAGACTATTACCAGAAGGGCAAATTCTGAGACCCTCCTTGAAAAACAGCTGTTTACTGGAGAGAAGAGTACAGGAAGACAGGCAACACACCTGTGTCATACGTTATCACCAGCAATATATTTGTGCTGATTAAGCCAAAGACAATCTCCCCCATCCTGACTCAAAAACTTGTAGCAGAGAAGCCAGGAAAAGGCTGCTATCCTATCACAGGTTGTTTGCCAACACAATTTAGAAAAAGTTTGTTGCTTAAACTGGGCAAGCTATAGCTACATATTGATGCAAGATACACATGGAAGCTCACAATATAATTTTATAGCTGTTTTTTGAAAAGAATTACAGAAGAGAAAGATTGATCTTTAAGTTGTGCACTGGACATACCACAAACCTGTGTATGCAAAATACTGAAGCACTACTGATTTGCCCCTTTGAATAGGTATTTAATGAACAGAACTCTTATGTTTCCATTCATATGATCTTTGATTAATCTCTAAGTTATATTTAGCCTGAGATGATGCTGCGTGCCTTTCACCTTATTCACTCAGAGCTGCACATCAATTGAAATTCTGTCCCAGTTGTGGGTGGCTTCAAGAATTTCAGGGGTTTGCTGCATCCTGCCAGGCAGCAAGCCCAAGCCAAAGCAGTCAGCAGAGCCAAGAGGACATGAGAAAGCCACCCAAGGAATGTGCTGATTCAGAGCAAGCTACACGGGTCCTCTCACAGACAAGGCACCCACAAAGCTGATTCCACAAAGTAAGACCTCAGAATCAAGTCATCAGCCCTGTAAAGCATGATGACTGGGAGAACACTGGGTACTGAAACACTTCAGTGAGGCCACTGATGCACACATCTGATTCAAACATTAATTTAAAAAGACCAAGGTAAGACAATCATCAGAACTGAGAATACACATACATACGGCTTGTCAAACCCTTGAAACAACCATTATGTATTTTCAACAAGTAATACAATACCCTGTGCAACTTACAGACATCATCCAAAATACCAGCACAAATCTATTAAGCTATCATGTTAAAAAAGGCTTAGATGAAGGTACGAGAACAAAACAAAGGCAGCCTTCCTTATCAGCACTGCTGCTGCATCATAAATAACAGGTAGGACTCTATCATGGAAGCAATGATGCAAGCCACCATTTAGGAAGCCAGGCTGCCTTGTATGACATAACAGCTGATTTACCACCCCACATGAGCTCTTTGGATCTCAGCTGCACCATCATGGGAGCATAAAGATGACTTTAAGTAGGTTTTAAAAATGTCAGAAGGAAAGGACGGCAGAAGCAGCTGTTAAATCCCTTTATTTAATAGTATACCTTGCACTGGTAAATTATTTGGCAGAACAAAATAAATTGATACAAATTACGTCACTTTATCATTTGACAGTTACTGGAGACTCTCAGAAAACCACAAGGTTACATAGGTATAAACATATTGTTTACTTTAATGATTACTTTGTCATGAAAATCTAAATTAAGCTCTCATGTTTGTCTCATGTTAGGGTCTCACAATATATTTACATTTGTGATGTGTCCAGTGTACAGTCTTGAGATCAATCTTGGCTTTACTTACTGTTCTGTTGTGAAAAAGAGCAGAAAATGCATGTAGAGTAGGCTTTTTTCTTTTTTCTTTTTTTTTTTTTTTTTAATGTAAACGTAATATATTTTAAACTATATCAAGCAAAACAATTCGAGAAAAAGAACCATGTTGGGTTGTGATAGGAAACTACAACTGTCAAGGTTTTCACTAGAACAAAACAATACTGTGATATCCCCATATTTATCTGACTGCCTATTATTATCATTCTTTTATCCACATGCTTACCAGGAACCCACAAAAGAAATGTCATTAACCTGCTAAAGCAAACAATTCCTGTTTTCCCATCCCTAATCAAACTCTTGTTTAAGAAAGAAAATTTTGCAAAAAAAATAGAGGACTGCTAATTCTCTATCAGTACAACAGTTCTCTGATAAAAATACAGCTTAAGAAAAGCACTTTTAATAATAACAATACTGAAACACAGTACCCTAAACCATTCAGCTATTTGGATAAGCCATATGGATGTAAAGAGAGTAGCATAAAAAGAACAGCAGATAAAACTTATCTGCTTTGAAAATAAGCTACTCTGACTATGCAGCAATTGATTTTTGCATGGTTTTAACACAATTTTTCATATAAAAATTAGACAGTTAATCAATATTAAGGTGTTTAAATATGTCCTGAACCTACAAACCCTTTATTCAGTGACTTTAAATACAGGAGTTGTCCCATTCAGATAGAAAGGATGATTCATACAGTTAAGGTTGTTTCCATACATGGGTTGCTTGCAATAAAAAAAGCAAAACACACAAACAAACAAACAAACAAATAAATAACACAACAAAAAACACACAAAACACACACAAAAAAAAACCCACAAAAAACCCCACCCCAAATAAAAAAAACACATCACCTAATACTTATTAGTTTGCACATCTAAAACAATTTAGTTTTTAGATCCCTATCTAATTTCTATTTTCTCCCATATTAACTGTTTACAGATTTACAATGTAAACTGTATCAACTTTGAGTGCTAAACACAGAGGAGTTTCTCTGAAAAATTTTCTTAAGAAAGCCAAACGGAGAGATTGACAACTCCCTTCAAGTAACCAAAAACATGTAGACTTAATTTTCCACAAGTCCTACCATACTCATTATTTTACATATTTTCAATCTTTCTTTAGGTTGAGCAATTGATCAAAACACTTCAGAATATTAGATATAAAGAAAATCTGAATGTAAATACGTCTGTTCAAGAAATATTCTGTTTTAACAAAATGATGTCATATAATCATCCATTACATACTTTGTAAAGCAGATTAGAAAAGTTAAGAGATACCCACACTAATGCCTCTGCAGCTCTCAACTCAGCCAGCAGCAGATAAGGTCATGCCCACAAAAACAAACAAACAAAAATGTTTTTAAAAGCAGAAGACAAACAGAACCCTTACTTCAGAGGTTGCCAGTGCAAATCCTAGCATCTCATCCCAACACACTCTTCATTTTTAACTTCATGATGTCACGACACATTCTTTTCCACAAGATTTAGTCTTAGCTGTCACAAGTCTTTGGCCAGGAATTATAATATATGGTTGTAGTGCCCGAGACAGTAAGAGGGGCTATAACTTTACAACAGCAAATATAAAATATGGAACTGGTAACAGTTTCTCCAATGAAATGTCAAGGGCAGACCTGGTCTGATGCCCATATAAGTAAGTGAAAGATGTCCACATTGAATCAGTCTCCAGTGAGCTTAAACAAATTTGAGACACAAGTGCCAGGGGAGGAAAAAAAAAGTAGATTTCAATCTATTAATTGTATTTATTTATTTATTTTTAGATCAGGCTTAGAGAGATACTAAGGGATACTTTCAACTTGCAGTTTTTGAGAATGGACTGCTTTTCTTTTCCCTCTTGATACTTATATGGGGCTTTTCAACAAAACAAGGGCTGCTGGGCAAACTGGCTGTGCAGGAGTAAACACAGCACACTGATACCAACAACTGCCACATGAGCTGCACAGACTGAAAACTAGAGGAACTGTTTATATAAACCATTTTTTCACTATCAATAATAAACGAATACTGTCTAGTTTTAGTAGTACACCTTTTCCCAACAAAACTGAGTCTGCAGGACTGGTCAATCATATCTTCAGAACTCTGCTCATAAAACTCAGTTATTTTTAATGTGATGAAATTAGCATTTTCAGCCTGTCCACCTATTATGATGAAGTGCCTGAAGAAGTTCATGAAAACATCTGTTCAGGGTATCTATGGCACAAGCAGTTGTATAATGACAGTTTCCCCTTTTGGTTTTGCTAGCTCAGCAGCCCTTTAATTCCTGAATTTTCCAATGTATTGTTTCAGGTACAAGCAGAGATAATACATTCAAAACAGAATTTGGATTGGTCTGGCAGGTGCTAACATGCAGCAGAAAAGATATAAAGTAGAAATCTTGTTACAAAAATAAATAATTAATAACACGGCAACGAGCATGATCTCATCAAAGTCTTAATCTGAACAGGGCACAGAGGCAAAGACCAGAAGGCTCTTGTGTGACATTGTTATCTAAAGTCCTGATTAGATTTTCACCTCAGAGTTCTCAATTTTGGTAGCAATCATCGCAAGGATACTATGGTGACTGGCACTCTATAAATACATCACCCAGACAGGTAACAGCACAGGAGACGGCTCTCAGATAAGAGTTAGAAGCATTTGAAAATTCAACTCTGCCATTAGGTCTGTATAACACTATTCAATTTTACAGCAGTAGAAATGTGATTACAGATAAAAAGGTAGGATTAGTGCCATACAAATTCTTCTCCTCTTAAATTAGATTATCATCGTTCAATAGCATTAGTTAGGTTTTTAGGGAGTGTCAGAATTCAACAAATATATAGGCATGTATTAAATGTAAATTTAATAAAAGCCTGCAGCACAACCTGAAGGTCAGTTTGACTGGCCTTGCTTTGCCAAACACTGCACAAAACTGCAACAAATGATTCACACAACTTCATCAACATAAGCTATATTCATCTCAAGTATCTGCCAAAGAATATAAGTTGTCATGTCCTGTGCTTGTACTTTCGATTTTATTAGAAATTGATAATTCAATATATTGTTAGGCTGGACTCAGTACCACTGCACTAAGTATGTTTGAGGCAGGCAATCCTGTGGCTTCTCATCCCAGCAAATTTAGTCTGTATTTCTTCACTCTAGAGTCAGAGGTGTGGAAGGGTGTCCATGGCCAGGTCGATGTTGTTGTGATTGCTACAAATTATCATTAGGTTAAAACACACCCATGAGTAATTTCCACACATACCATAAGTACTCCGAATTGACTGTAAGCATCAAACTCAAATTCTTCAGATCTTACTGTACATCACTGCAAGAGTCTCACTAATGCAGTTGTAACCCATTGTAACGAAAACACCTACAAAACACTTTTTTAAACCAACTTCTACTAAGTGTATTTTGCATACAACCAACTCCTTAGGTCTTGGTAACAAATGGTACATTCAGTATAGGAGCTGCAGTATTTCAGCAACAGAAAAGTTGTGCACTGCACAATCCAATTAGTATCACATGCTCATCCTGAGCAACACA